GAAGAGAAGAAGAAGAAACTCTTTAAGAGTACGTGTTTTTTTTCTTATTTTAAATACCGAAGTAAAAAAATTTAATCTTTAAATAACCGTCAAATGCTCACGAACAATTAATTTTGATTATTCCACCCTGGAAAATTGTTTCTATAAAACAAGAATATTTACAAGTTTTTAATACTACTTCAATTTCGCCTTCTCTAAACGTTCAGTACGAAATTTAATGTCATTGCTTTGGACCCTTGTGCAAAAAAAAAACACAAATATTTTTCTACCAGTTTCATTCTTATTCAACTCGAAAAACCTCTAAACAACAACAAGTAGTTAAGGAAAAGCCAAATTAACGAGTCTAACCACTGGACGACTTCGCAATTGAGGGTGCCATTAATCTGCAACTGTATGCACTCGTATTCAACCAGTGTAACCAAGTTGAGGGTAAAAAGTCAGAACTATAGTTAGGTAAAAAAAAAATGTATGGTACGACAGTGGTCTGAGAGCGGCAAAATCCGTCATTTTCGAGTTGGTAAAAAAAGTGGAAATTGACTATATTTTTGATGAGAGGGATAATTAACTAATACATATATTTCGGGAGTTTAGTTTTTAAAAAATATTTTCTTTAATTCGTTTTATAACCATGGGCAGAATCTTGCAATAAACAGCCTATTCCCACGGCAATAATTTCCCAATTTGCTAGAAATCAGGAGATAAGTTTTAGGTGTTTCGTCGAGTTCTATCTGATTGCCGAGATATGTCTGACATTATCTGGTTTCAAGAAAAATTGGTTTAATTAGTTTTTGTATGGCTGGTGGTCGTGGTAGATTCAAATCTTTGCAGCTACAACTAAACTACAATTCGAATTTCATTAATATCGTATAACAGTTACTATTTCCGTCCCCTAGTGTAGTGGGCGTGGCCAATTATTACTTTTTACCATATTTTATACGGTTCTCACCACTGTGCGGCATGTCTAAACCCTATGTTCAGCACTATCTATTTGTTTTTTTTCTGCTCCTTCTACTACGTCTAAATTCTAAACTACAAAAACTAGTACTTACATTCACATGCATGCATATACATATGTATCTATGTATGTATGCGTATATTACACCTCATTGTTCTAACTTTTGCTCCTCTTCTCATTGCTTACTCTTCTTTTCCCTGCCGAGCATTTTGTAGAACTCAAAAATTTATGAGCAAAAAGATGGAGATTTATGATTACATATGAGGCTTCATTTTTGATACACCTCTATTAATACTTTTGTTTACGTATGTATGTACGTATGTATGTAAATATGTATGTATGCGAGCGTGGGAGTACGATTACCTACATGTATGTACATATGTATACCTTGAAGGACTCAAATTAATGAATGCCGGTGTAAATTGGATGGGCGGTTTTAAATGGAAATGTGTACGCCATAAGAGTCTCAGATTACTTACTGGGATTCCTAGTACGAAATTCTATAAGTATGGCTTGTAAGGAAGATTAATCGGAAAACGAATATTTTTCTATCGAGACGGAAACATGCACTTCAATAATGAACTTGTAGTGCCTTCCACTTTTCGGGGAGCACATATGTAGATAGGTTATTGTAACCTGGATTAACATATAGGATCTTTTTTTTAGGTAGTTGCCACCTTTTTCAAAAGTTAAAATCAATTTATTTAGTATTGAAAATTAAATATAAATTAAATATTAAAAAAAATATTTAAGTATGTCAAACGAAAGCGGTTCCAAAACTATTTATTTCGAAAATATTTTTTAAGTAAGTTGTCAACTGTTAAAAAAGTTAAAGGAACTTAACTAATAAGCTAAATAAAACAGAGTTGGTTGTCCAACCAAATGGAGCAAATACGATTTGTTTCAAACATATTCTTTTAGAGGGTTGCCGCCTGCTCAAAAAGTTAAAATCAATTTAAAAAACAAGCTTAATAAAATATATTTTATAGTGGATATCAAACAAGAGGAATTTAGCAAAGCTTTGTTTCGATAATTTTGTCGAAGTAGGCTGCCACCTGTTTATAAATTCAAAATCAATTTAATTAACAAGTTTAATGAAATATTTAGATAGGGGTATCAAGTTAGAGAGGTATAAAATAGTTTATTTCGAAAATATTTTTGAAGAGGGGTGCCAACTGCTCAATAAGTATAAATACAAATAATTTTTTAGCAAAAAAACCACCCAACTTAAAAAATATTACATTTCATGATCCAATGATCGGATCTAAACCAGATTAGTATGGGACCACCTCTGAGACACTATCTTGCCGATGAAAAAAGAATTATCGAAATCGGTTCATGTGGTCCAAAGTTATTCGGTAACATACATATAAAAAAAAAACTTTTCCGACGAACTGATAACCTCCTCCTCTTTTGGAAGTCGAAAAAAAATATTCCGTCGAACTGATAACCTCCTCCTTTTTTGAAGTCGGTTAAATATGGGTGGCCCACGAAACATTAAATTTAATGAAATATTATAATATGGATGACAAACGAAAGATGATTAGGAAATCTTTATAATGGCCGCTTCGAAGAGAGTTTAAAAAATCAAATTAAATTTAAATGAACATTGGGCGGCAGTTTGCCGTGGCACTCAGTTCTAATACCGCCTGGGGTATACATACGAGTACATATGAAAATCCCCGTAGTAAACGATTTAGATTTATATCTCGCCTAGAGCTGTTACAACAGCAGCATTCCCAAACCTCTTTGGGGGATTCGCATGGTATTTGGCTTATGTCACATTGAAATGCTGCAGCTAGTTACTATCGAGCTCATCATATGAGAGTTACTTCGAAAAGAATCAGCTTCCCTGCAGGACTCCAAGAAAGTTACGTACTTACATAGATACATACTTGCATATAAATATAGTTATGTTGCATTTATGCATGTATGTACGTAGGTAATTCAGCTGGCAATTGAAGTACAAAAGTTCTTCTTTTTTTTTGCTGTGTGTTTTACACATGAGCCACAAAAGTCTGCCCGCGGTGCTTGGGGGAAGTTCATAGGTCAACTTTGCATGGATATATTTATTATGCGCTTACAAGGATATATGGCCACAGCAACTAAAAAGTAGCGAATGCAATTTTATGTGAATGCATATTCAAATGTACATACATAGGTGTGCGAACATAAAAGTTTGTCAGCTCACAATTATTTATGTACGAGTATGTACTCGTATGTATGTATGTAAAAAGAACTATTTATGCATATGCATATATACGCACTTCGTTATGAGTTGTAGGTTACCTAAATAAGCTGCAAAATTTTAAAGTTGTTTCGAACAACAAGTGT